TTTTTGGTCCTAGGATTGTTTTTTTAAGAAGTACATACTCAAAGGTAAGTAAAAAAAACCTTTAAAAAGTGAATTTTGCATAATAGGTCCCCTTTAATTAACAGATGACACAGGTGAGAGTAACTTTACGTGAACTGTTTGCAATGACTTTTTTCTTCACACGAGCTCAACTTAACATTCGCAGCAAGTTAGCAACAACAAGCTAACATTAGCTTACCGTCCTCTGTGACCTGCCCTCTCGTCATTAGCCTCATCCTGCTGGATGGTCCGATACCGTCTTCTGTTCTTTTCCTTTGAGTTTGGTGTAGTTCGTTATTCTAGTGTCGCAAATACAATGAAATAAGACTTGCGCGTTTGAAATGCCGGTGTTACACCATATATTGTGACCATCATATTTTGTGACCAGAGGGGGCGCTGTTGCGGTTCTGCAATAGAACCTGGCCGAACATGGGCACAAAGAAGAATATGATACGCCAAAAATGTAGCCTTTGATCAGAGGCTGAAGACACGTACGCAAAAACAAATTTAAAAGAAATAAAATAAAATAAAAATAAAGCTATATTGACTGATATACATGGTCACAGAATATGACAGCTGCTATCATATCTTGTGACTTCACTGTCGCTCAAAATAAATGAAGCTCTTATGTTTAGAGTTAAATTTCCCTGAAAGACGCTTTGCTTTTTCACAAATCCCTGCAAATATATGTACACAGCCACACAGGAAAGTTGTGTTTGCACATGAAAAAGCCCAGTTTTGTTGCTTCTTATTGTGTGTTTTGTACTGAGCACAGCCCGACTCCTCCGTCACACTTTGAACCACCAGATGGCGAGTTTGTGCAGCGGAGGAGCCTCTGTTTGTCTCCATCTCATGCAGAAACACAGGTTGCTGCTGCTGCTGTTGCTGCTGCCCACATCAGCCTCTCCCTCCTCAGCCAATAAGCAGCTCATCTCAGCCGTTTCCAGCATTCAAAGGAGTTCTGTCTCATTTTGACTCAACTCTTCTGTTTTATTACGTTTAATGAAACTTGGAGTGCTTGGAAATTGATCGCACTTCTTTACTGTTGAAGAATGGTTTGTGATGAGATCTGCTGAAATGGATGAATGTCTTGACACGATGTGCTCACTGCCACTCCTTCCTGTCGGTTTTGTCTTTGTGCTCCAGATGTCTTAATATATAAATATTTATTTCTGTGGGGTTCCTGTACAAACCTGCGGGGAAAACTGTCAGAGGAAGCTTTTCTTTTTGCAAATCTGCAGCCAAGTCATTTTTACTGAAGTATCCATGTAAGAAAATCAAAGTTCTTTAATATTTTGAGGCATCTTTAAAAATCAGAGTTGTGCAGGAACTCCAGTTTGTTGCATGCTTGGCTGTTGTCTTTTGTCTGCCCTGCTTGTGTTAGTTTCTTTTTCTTTTCTTTTATTTTATCCCTACTACGCAAAAAAAAATTGGGGTAAAGTTTTAATCATATTTACTCAGAAAGACGTTTTTATTTTTAGGAGATTCAAAGTGAAACGAATCGTGTCAAAGATTTCCATCATTTCTGTTTTTTTTTTTTTTTTCATGAGACAGTTCAGCCTTCCGCTTTGTTGAGGCTCTGTGCTGTATGTCCTGTATCTGTTGCTGTGGTGACAGGAGAAGTACCAGCGAGAGCAGGAGAAGCTGAAGGTGGAGTGGGAGAAGGCCCAGAAGGAGGTGGTGGAGGAGGAGAAGAAGTATCACGAGGAGGTTTGTGGGGGTTTTTTTACTCTGGAGGGAATGTGTTCACCGTGTAAAAATACACAGTTTAGCACTTTGCATTATTTCAGTCAGATCATCAGCTGATGATGTCAGCTGTTTTAGMCTCAGCCTTCTCCCAACAGGAGCGCAGGATCCTGGAGGAAACGGTCATGCCTCTAACCCCCCGCTCCTCAGCCTTGCCCTCCCCCAGTCGAGGGGAGCTCTCCTCCGGCTCGGAGTCTCCGTTTACCATCGTCCGTTCTCTGGCCGACTGGGACCGCAAACAGGAGCTGCTGGAGAAGCAGTCTGTGAGTCCYGGCTTCATTAAAGCTGCAGTTTGGCCTTGATTTTCTTTACTATATTTATTATTTTATTATTCAGTGTTTGTTYTGGATCAGGGGTGCCCAAACTTGTTCCCATGAAAGAGCCAAGATGAAAATCTGTCTGAGGACTTTGGGCTAAATGCAACAAAGTAATACGTGAAATACATTCTTAGTAAAGTCTTTTTTATTTTTTATGATAGCAGCCAGTCCAGTGGCCCACCTTTTGTTTGTTTATTTATTTTTGGCATTTGGAGAAAGTTTGACTTACACTCAAGCAGCATAGGCTCATGGGACATTTCATATAAAATGATAAAATGACTATTTCTACTACTGCTTTATTTACAAAGCACTTTAAAACAACCACAGCTGCAACAAAATGCTGTGCATATAAAATCAAAAACATTCAAAATTAAAAAAA